CAATGTCGCTTATTCCTAACCGATGCCTCTATGTATTGAAAATTAATAACAGTTTTAGAATTAGAGTCTAGGTTGAATTAAGTGACTGAGAATCCTATGTTGAATCAGTTAAGACCACTCTAAAATAAAAAATGATATACAAGATCTAATGAATAATGACAACATAAAACACCCGTCTAAGTATACTCAGCCTAACATGTTAAAGAAGAAAGCTGTGTTTGTTCTCTTGTATTCTTGTGCACAATCCCTTGGATGTTACTGATTGTCAACAGCCAACCGTGTCGATGTGTAATAAACATGTCTGTTATGTCTCGTTGGTCAAGGACTCAAATCATGATTCAGGAAACTCATGGTTTAGAAAATTACACAAAGAAATTACGTAGATGGTGACTAGGCTGTGTAAATAGCAGAGCAGTTGTTGAAGTTGCGTAATATCATTTTTATTGTTTTGCTGGTTTTGAAAGTTTTACCAGTTTCTCAGAGTATTGTCGTGATACGACTGCTGGTGGAGCATTGTTCACTTTACTTTTGACCGAAACGATTGCTGCACAGCCAAAGCAGCATTCTACCAAATATAAGTGGAAGCAAAGCGTTTTAACAATTGGCGCGTAGAGTGTTGCAGTGTGTGTTGTTCTGGAAAAAAACGTGCATTAGCATTTTGGGCACCATTAGCATACTGCGCTTTTCAGATGGGACATGGACCGACCCGTGTTACATGGATTATTGACCACGGCTAGAATATTTTCAATGTACTGTCGATGTTTAAGCTAGGTCTTTGCTCATGTTTTTGTAGCCGTGCCCGATAATCGCTCTTTTGAACTAGTTATTTTTTACTTCGGTTTTCCGTCATATCCGTCGCGCTTTCAGTCAGGAGTAGCTACTTTTAAATAGGTAAAGTCAGCATGTCGCGTATGACTGTTTCAAAATTCTCAAAAACAAGTGACATGGTTTTCATTTGCTTGAGAATGTCGGGAAAAGAGCATTCGAAAAGAGGCATTTGCAACAGACTGTCTTTTCGTTGCAATATTATAATGAAAGCGTTCAATAAATACTGCAGATGCAATTAACTTAGGCATATGAAGCAGTATCTGCCATATACGTCTGTTACTGGTGACCATAAAGTTCGGTGATCGATGCAGGATGCCAGTGGTCACACAATTGAGTCACTTGTACAGCTTTTCTGAGTGTCGCAAAATATCATACTGATGTTACACCAGCCATATAATGCCAGATGCAATTAATTTTGCGCCACGGCGACAAATGTCATTCTCTGTTCAGACTATTCACAATGATTTTGTGAGTTTTGTCACGATATTAACATGTGCATCAAAGTAATACAAAGCATGTTCACTTTTTGTTATATTATGGGTGGGCAGTGAATTCTGACTTCGCTTTGTACTTTGTGCTAGATTTGAGTTCCACAGCGTCGCAGCGTTTGCTTTATACATGTACAGGCATGGGGAATTTATCACTCTGTTGCAACCAACCGAAAAATAATTGCTAGGAAATATTTGCAGCCTGTTATACTAATATAGTCGTACTCGGTACTTCGGTACATGTCAACTCATGTTGTCTGCAATTCACTTTGACCTACCTGGTATTTGGCCGTGGGAGCGCATAACCTGTAAACTGGAAAATAAAAAAGTTAACCTATATTTTAATCACTCCTGGAAAATGTTTTTGTAAACGCAGATAATAGAAATTGGTTCGCTTCTCTGAATCGAAATCAGTGCACTGAGAACTTCGAACCAAGAAAAGACTGTAAAGCCATTGTCTTGTCAATTTATTTACCCTGTAGATGGCCAGGTTCTTTGGTCGGAACGTTTGCCCTAAAATAAAGACTTCACGACAGGATTTCAGTTGTTTCAAGTAAACCAGGAAATCACTTATGGTATTGACCGAAATTGTTCTTACTTGGTTTGACAGTTAACATGAAAATGTCATTTGCATGGCTAAACATTCCAAACAGCAAATCACATTGCCCACCTATCAAAGCAGCGAAAGAGATCATTAAAAGCTTAGGGATTGTTAATGCAATAAAATAATGCAAAATTTTCGTTGCGCAGCATCAGGCTTTAGCTGTCATGCTGTTACATATCCGAGTCATGTCTATTTTGAGCGCCAGTGGCGAGGTGTTAACTCGTTAGCTGTTGCGAAAGCACTATTTTACTGAACTGCTCAAAGGCAAAAGCCAAAAAGAACACTGAAGAGTGCAGTACACGAAGGAACGAGCCAAACACCGCACCTCTAAAGAAATTTGAGTCCACGTGGAACATGTCATAACTGCGTGTCCCTTGCTTAAACAAGAAGATTGCACTTACATCCTGCGTCTTTACTTGCAGAAATCTAAGATACCATTAATAGCTATAAACAAGACCTATTTTTGCCGCAGTACTGTTTCTCGTGATGTGTCCTTATGGTGCAGCGTGAATGGCAACTGTACACAGTTTGCAATTTTTTGTTTTTACAAACGGCTAAAGTGTTTTGATTATCTGTCTTGAAGTCTGATTTTCAAGCATCGGCTGCTAAACAGCAAACCACGGCCAGGAAGACGAAAGATTGGTGCCCAACATTTCGCATTGCTTAGGACCCAAAATCTGAAACAGTGGTGCATGCAAAGTTTTCTTTCATTGACGCCGTAAATAACTGGTATAGGAGATGTGAAATCTTCCATTTCACTGACATGTTTCATCAATTTTATGCAGTCTCCAGTTCCATAACATGACTAAGAGAATGACGTTACAAAACATGTTTCCCATTCAGTACAGAGTTGAAAGCCACGCTTGACAACCACCCAACGCGTGTTTTCTTTACGGTGAAAGTTATAAGGAGCAGTGAGGAGTTCATTCGTCATCATTTCCTTAATTTTATTTAAATACGTCGAAAAGACATGCAACGATATTAGTTCCGCAATCTTTCGTTTCAACTGATCCATTTCTCCATCGTTACCTTGTACCTTTGCATATATTCTCGTACGTAATTAAGATTTGGAGAATTCGAACGTCTGTTTCGATATCAGCTTCTACTTCCGTTGCCACAACACCCATTCTCCAGTCTACTGATGCCTTCTTCATAGACATTTCTGTTTAGCACCCACTTTTCAGTTAGAATATGCATTGTTCGTTTAAGCCTTTAAACATCCTACAGCGGCTGTTATAGATTTCAAGAGAGCGAAACTTAAAAAAACATCCCACAACGGTTTAAATCGATGCCAGTGATGACCGCTGATGTTCAAGCCGAGTGGCTTCTCCTTAAGAGCTTCATACTCAAGGTTGCCGCCGAATGTTGCGGATTAAAACGGGTTGGTCTGCCGCCTGTGGATCAAGAAAGCTTCTTGATGACAAGAAGGCTGCATTCAAAAAATAGCTGAGGTTTCTAATCACGTCTGATATGTCAAAGTAAGCAAGGCGGCAGCGGAAGCTAAAGCTGATTCCTGGGAGAGGTTCGGAGAGGTGTTGGAGTCGAATTACCAGACGGCAAACAAAGTATTCTGGCAAACCATTCACCGGATCCGAGTGAAAAGAAGGTCAGTGTAAGAGTTTTGAAGGACAGCTCTGGTCATTCTCTTACCAAAGGTGACATTCTTCGGCGATGGAAGAAGTACTTTGAGAAACTCCTTAACCCCGAGCGACTGCAAGAAGACTCGCTTGTAGAGCAGCATGGAACGGATATTAGTATCTCTGTACTAAAAATTACACAAGGTGTGAAAAGCTTGAAAAATAGAAAGGATGTTGCAGCTGATGAAATCCGCTCTGAAATGCTCATAGCATCAGGCGAACAGGGCATCTGCTGGATTACATGGTTCTCAAACTGCAGTGACTACAGAAAGTCACTAGTGGAATTAAGAACGGAGTTTCGAAATGGATTCCGAAATTTGTCCCTTGTCGATACCTCATTAACGCGCTGCATTTCTTTGAATTTGTTTGGCTAGGAGAAACTCTGTGTGCTGTGACAACGACAACAGCGTCAATATTTTGCGAAGGTACACACGCCGCGCACATAACCGAACAACTTCTCACCATAACCCTCTAAAAAAGGATTGTAAGAGCGTCGAGGCGGGGCTAGAGTTCGTGTTGGTGCCCGACGAGAATAAGGCGACGAATGACGAATCATTTATACCCCGCGCTGTTACTAGATAAAGAACTACATTAGTCGTCTCTCTGTGGTGATGACAGCATAGATATTTAGTATTCCAGTTCTGATTTCCAGGTTTTGAAATTGTTGAATGATAAGAAAGTTTATATTGCTGCTATTTTGCGGACGTCCTATGTTATTTATTGTCTTGGTATTCTCCTCTCGTTTCCTCGTAGCTAATCTCCAGTTTCTACTCAGAGTAAAGGCGGTAGTCGTTGTTTCAATTTTAGTCTGAAGTATTTCTAAATTAGTGCGTCCAGTAGTGTCTTGGTTAAGTTATTTAACATTTCTACCTTCGGGTCTCTCCAACGAATCGGCATTTTCTGCTAGTGAATTTAATCCTTTAGTTTTGAAAGGTGCGGGTTTAATACGTTTGTCTGTTGCTTGATCATTTCTAGCAGTGTCAGTCTTTTATCCATAGCTGTGTAACTTCGAAGTACTTTTAAGCCAGGTTTCTTTCTGAAACTCACAGCATGAAACTGTCCCCTGAAAGATATGCCCGTCAAGCAAAGAAGAAAGAATGTTCAAGCGTTGTCTCTGTTTATTATTCGTTTGAATCCTGTTTAAGTTCTGTTCGAGGAAGTTTGATTAACGCAGGACAAATGTCTGTAATTAAGGACATGTACTAGAAAGAATTTCTCTGAACGATCAAACTATTTATCCTCAGGTTAAAATGAATACATCAGCGGTTCATCTGTTGACGTGCAGCGACTCGGATAGAAAAAGAGTTTTATGACTTTACTATTTTACCTGTATCGTCTGCGATGAGTCCGTTCGCCTAAAAACATGAAAGAAACATATTAATGACTGTTTCGTTAAATGTTTGGAGTCACAGCTTGATTCTTTAGATTTTACAGGTACCAGCGATGAGCAACATAGATCAACAGTTGCCGGTAGTAGTGAAACAATCCGTTCGTTTGTGGGGTCCACTCTCTCCTGATTTTGGTCTTCATTCACATGCGTTAGGGCGAGTTGGATTCGTAATTCAGACGTTTGTGTATGATGTTATGGTCGCGCTTTAATATCCTCTGTCATGACCGTACCAAAATAAGGTGATTCCCGTTGCTGACTATTTATTTGCAGTTCAGCGACCTCCTGTATCTTTGTTGAATGGTTGCACAAAAAACTTCATGAGATAAAACACTTGCTCAGGCGAATTGGACGTCAATAAGAGAAGAATAGATTTTGCTTAGGCAAATCGCAAAGTCCAACAATCATCCTCTATGTTAGGCCCTCGTCCAAGCTCCGTAACTTCGTGGTCAATAGGTTCATTTTGTACCTAAATTCTACGCAATAAGTTTCTTGAAATATTTTTTTGCCGCAGAGATTCTTATATAGATTACAATCTATGATTATAAACGTTTATCTTTTTCTATTTTGTTTTATTTATTTCTGTGGTAGATATTTCGTTTCTCAAAATATCGTACCATTGCGTTGTGTATTCTGTTAAAATCTGTTTTAGAGCTTCGTCTTAAACTTGCTCTTCTGCCAGTATAACTGCGATCAAACTGTCTATTCATGGGATGATTGCGCTATTTAATTTGCTGCTTCAGGAAATAGACGAGAAATTAGCGTCGATGAAAACGCAGGTCGACGAGATCGTCGGCGACGTCGAGAACCTGTCCGTGGACTACGCGGAAATTCTGTCTCCGGACGAGTTCCATGATCTGTTGAGCAGTCGCGATCAGTTGCTAGAGAACTACTCGGCAATTCAATGCCAAGTGAAGTCTCTTGTCGAAACGTTAGTAGTCCTCGACCGTTCGTCGACAGCATACTGTTTCGCCACCGCTTATCACTAACGCTTTTTAGACTCGTCCCCACGGTCGATCTGCGTCAACGTCTGGACTCTCAAGAATCGGCATGCTTCATGTGTTTGGACGAAGTGCAAAGGTTCGCCGACGAACAGGACATTGGACCATTAGAAGCTCTTCCGTCGAAGCTCGCCTCGCTACAGGTATGGCGAAAAGTCTGAATATTTTCGTTGCTTCTAAATACCTTAAACTCGTACCGATAACCTAGCTTGAATGACTAAAAGCCGATACCTCTTGTCATTCGATGGCAAGCGGAACGAAGGCAATGTTAGTTTTTTTATCATCCATCCACTACAATTCTTAATTGAGTTCCAAACTCGTTATTAGAGATAGTTGGTTAGTCTGCGTCCCTGAAATGTCAAAAGAGCTAAATCTATCTTTACGTGTATTATTTCATTGGCTGCTGCTGCTTGATTTACAGCTCCATCGAGTCCACTGTTACCAAAATCATGCTTCTATGCCATGGTCGTTAGCACTGCGGTTAATTACCATGCCATGTTCGGGCATTATAGTTTATAGATCTGATTCTCTTGTTAATGTAAATGCAGTCACGGCTATTACATGAGATTTACTATGCAATGTTTTTCGTACTTGCGTTTATTTCAAGGTCATACTTCTTGTAGTCATCGTGCTTCATATTTGTTGCGATGCACAATGATGTTACAAATCTATAAACTGTCGTTTTTAAAATCAGTTTATTTACCTAAGTCTGTGTATGAAGCTTGTAAATTGAGACATTTGAATGAAGCATTAATTGAATATTTGGTATATCCGTTTTTAAGAACTTTTTGAAATATGCTTCAGTTAACCTCCGTCGGTTCCTCTATCAGTGCTGTGGCATATGCATTTACTCATCTTTATAAAGGCAGGTTTGCCACTGCACGATTAACTGTTGAGAAGATAATAGTTCGAGCTCTGTGATTTTTTGTATATACTACGAAGGGGTACCATTGCTGTCATATTTAATTAGAATTTGAAGAAGAGCTATGTAGTGACCATGTTTTGAAAAGGAAATTTGTTCTGTTCTTACCATGTTGACTGTTTTAAGTAATACATTATGACGGTTGTTGTGATTGAAGTACCAAATAAAAACACCGTCTGCGATTTAATGAATTAACATAAATATCAGGCGAATTGGACAGAAGGTTAAGACATTCTATGCCATAAGATTAAAGTAGGCTTGCTCCAAGGTTATGCGAATGCAAGAACAATTTGAGATACCCAGCGTCATTTATACACATTTTCAAATCTTGTTGTAATCTGAAATTACTTGTCATGACTACTGGACCCTGGGTACACACGGCAAGGTTCAGTCTTCCATTTCGTTCTGGAGCTGGCAATCGCCTCCAAAATTTTATTCAGTAAGGGTTGGATAACGACACTTTTGTACAGAGCCACGGCAACCACAGCAGGATGAGTAAAGATTTTAAAATATCTGTCCCTGGAAGATTTCACGGCCCAATCATGAGTATCTTTGTAGCTTGAAGTTACGCTTCCACCACAGACCTTGTCAACCTACGACACTAGAGCATCCTTAAGTTCAAATTGTTCATCGTGATACTATTTTTGTAGGCAACAGGTATCAACTATTGTTGTTCAGTTCATTGTTTCTCCTCACCTCTTCTTTTATGCTCAGTCTAATTGGGTTTCGTGTGCAGGAAACACTGGAGAAAATAAAGGAGAAACGAACTCAGATGACAAAGTTCAACGACTTCGCGAAGGAGTACGAGTCAGCACTTAAAGAGTACCTGGTCGAGATGAACGTCGTTCGCAAGCTGTCGGGCTCCCTGGAGCCAGTCAACTATTCGAATTACCTGTGCGTCGAGAAGCTAACTTGTGATCTCTCCCGGAAGTACGACGCGGCTGCTGCCAAAGCGGCGCAGCACATCTCCGTTATCAAGACCCTATCGGAAGCGTATGACAGATTGCACAGGGCGAACGATTCCTGTGAGGAATGCGTTGCTAACCTCGAGGCTGCGGTCAGTAATAAAGTGAGCGACGGTCATCGAGTGCGCAACCTTGCCGACATCGCCGTCGAGATGGAGTCCTTGAACACCATGCGCAGTGATGTGGACAACAAAAAACACATAGTCGAATCTTTCCTTAATGTGTCTTCGGATGTCATACGAACTCTGCAGTCTGTACCCATCGTCTCGTCGTCCGAAATCGAGTCGGTCAGAATGGTTTCTGACAGGATCAAGAAAAGGTACATGCCTCGTTTGGTAGGTACATTTTACCGGCAGATGAAACAATTTTTCTCTCTGTTTTAAGACGCTAGTTATTCAAACGGCAGATGGATTCTTTTATGCACAGATTCTTAAGCATTTTAAGTCACCCTTAAAATTGCCGATTCCATCATTGTTTGTATTTTTCGATGTTTGAATCCATCCCCGAGTATCATTTTACTGCGTTACCCGGGTTTCTTGTCATGGATTGAGAATAAGCAAGAAATTAGTGGCCAGACAGCACAAAGAAAACTTTTACAGCAATTTATCGAATGGTCTGTTTTTAAAATATAAAAGTGATGTTCTGTCTCATAGGTATGAAGAAAGCGTTGACAAACTGAACGACTACATGACAGTGGTGAAGGCAAGACTGGTGAAATCTGAGGACACGCGTAAGAGCATCGATTCCATTGAACAATCGTTGGAGATGACGTGTCACGCAATATCTGATCTACAGTCTGGCTCGGTCATATCGCCCACCCATTTGTCTGAGCAACTGACCGAGAAATGCCGTGTGTTCACACAGCTTCAGGAATGTCGCTCTGGCATCGACGCGATCGAGGAATCGTTGCGCAAGTTATGTGATCGTGAAAAATCGTCTGGCTCAGATGCCCTGGTGCGAGAGGCGCAGATGAGGCTAAAGTCGCTAAGGGATCACTATGACCGGGCGGTGAAGTCGTTTAAGGCTGTGGACTCTGACTTGCAACAGGCGCAAAATCGTGTTGGCAAGTTTCAGGAAACGGTGAAGTGCTGTTCATCTTTCCTGGACAGCATTGAGCACTCGTTGGCCAGTGCCGAACAAAGCAACGATGAGCTGTCGGCCCGTGCGGCTGCTCTGGACAAATTGAAGGTCGACTTAGCGGTTCATAGCGCTGATTTCCGCTTGCTTGAAGAATCTTTCGCGGACGCACTCAAAATTGTCCACCTGGCACCTTCATACATCGCCTCATGTAAAAATGACAAAGAGGCAGTGCTGTCGAGACTGGAGAGCGTGAACGCGTGTTTGGACCAACAGTCGCGATCCATCGACCAGCAGCAGCAGCAAGCAGTTCAGTATGAGGCTGCCTTCGACAACGTCCGGCGGCAGCTAGAGCAACTGCAGAGTCGAGCTGACCACCTGACACCATCGTCGCTGTCCGGCCCAGTTCTTGAACGCCAAATCGAGGAGGTGAATACGCTGCTCGAAATCCATCACACGATCGGCTCACAGAACCTTGATCTGCAAAAGTTGCTGCCGTCGTGCGACATTAGTGCTGTTCCGCCCAATGCTGCTCGTACGTTCTTCTCATTCTTTCGTATTGTACTTGTAGTCGTGGTCATCTCTTTGAGCATGTCTGCATAATTGCAATGTCTGTGGTTTGTGACATCAGCTTTTCGACATATTTACTATTAGGCACTGGTTGCTGTATCATACAAGGAAATGTTTCTTTCCAAAAACAGATTTGCCTCAAATTCATTTCACCGTGTTGCATACTGTTTTTCTTAGCCTCCATATCTACCAAGCTAGAGCATAGAGTCACTTGGTCCTACCGTTTTTACCTATCATTACGTATTCAACACAATGTGCGATACACAGTTCAACCATCATTGAACAATTGTCTTCATGCCGTAGAAGACACTGACTTGACAAGGACTTGATAAATTTATGTTAAAGGAATATATTTTTAGAGCTTAAATATTTTATTGCATACTAAAAATAAATCAGATTACGGCGATCGTTCTATTTAGAGATCGGTCGCATCGCTGCAGAGGATGGAGTAAAGTAATCGTACTATTTAACCTCCTCTACCATTTCATTCCCCGTGCACAGGACATAGCATCTCCTAAAACGTCAGCGATGTAAATAAAATATCTGTCCGTAGCATGTTTATGGGGATTTTCATTGTTGGGCAGACAGATTTGTCTGCCTTAAATTCCGTTAACCGGCATGTATGCCTTACATTCGAAGCTTATGGAAGTATGTGTGTTACATGTACTGCCTTCTATATTATCGATTGTATAGTTCTGTGATTCGGTCGATTGTTCCCTCCTAGATAGTTTAGTGAATTTCGCAGCACGCTTAGTCTCATTTACATGAGATCCTTAACCCATTTTGTCGGTATTTCGTTTTTACAACGATGAATTTACTATAGAACAACTGGAGGCACTGACGAAACAGTACGAGCAGGTAGGCTCAACGTTGATGGAAGCCAGTTCAAGGTTGCAGAAAACCACCTCTCAATTGACTGACTACAAGACGCACTACGAGCAGGTATTCCAGTCTGTCAGTGAAGTCTTAACGAAGATCAAGTCGGTCGCGTTCTGTACTGACAAAGAGGCGACGGCATCATCGATGGACTCGATCAAGGTACCTGTGTCGTACTGACGGTTTTACTGTCACTGCTTACTGTTTTAGTAGCTTGAATAGGAGGGGTCATAGAGTAATTATCTATTGCTGATATTTTCATCGTTTTGGCTAATTGTCATGATCGATTGTCAACGAACAGCTGTACTGAGTATGTTCCAAAAATCTTTCAGCTCTTCACGCGTTGACCTTCTCATATGGGATTGTCACACAACCAACGCCTTACCGTATTTTCGATTTTAATTTATTTGATTTATTTGACCCTCTCTGATGTGCTTCAGTAATAGAAAATTAAGTTGAAGAAAACAGTATGTTATAATTTATGTAGCGACTGAGAATGATGACTCATTTCATGTTTGTTGACTGCTTTTTGGTTTCCAAATAACGATAAACTAAATCCAACTGTTCACATCTAGAGTTTCTTCCGGTTTGAGGATGAACTCGAATAATATCTGACTGGTCAAAGTAGTAGGTATTCTTCAAAAAGAATTTCGTTTAATTACCTGAAAAGTTTTGTTCAGATTCAATGGTGGTTGCATAATCCCTGAATAATTATTATAGATAAATGAAAAATATATTTATGCATTTTAATGCAAAACCATCCATTGATCGATTCATCCAAACAAATCGGAGGACAGCTACGCAATGTTTAGCCCGTCGCCCGTTGGTTCTTACGGCGGTAACCATCACCGGATTAGCCGACTGCGGTAAAACTTAGATCTCTGCTTCATCTCTGCATCTGTTGGTCTCGCGCAGTCTTCACCCCCGGCCCTTGTTTGTTCCGGTATACTGCCAGCTCAGAGAACTCTTCAGTGTCAGGCTTGACAGTACCCATAGGTGATTCGCCAACTTGAGATGAGAGATCGTTGCAGATTTTTTCCTAATTC